AAGAAGGAATGAAAAGAAGAAGAGAAGAATGAAGAAGAAGAATGAAAAGAAGAAGAAGAAGAATCTTTTCATTCTTTTCATTTTTCTTTTCATTCTTCTTCTTTTCTTTCTTCTTCTTCTTCTTTTCATTCTTCTTTTCATTCTTCTTCTTCTTCTTTTCATTCTTCTTCTTCTTCTGAGGATGAGGATGATGAAGAAGAAGAAGAAGAAGAAGAAGAATGAAGTAGGATAAAATAAGAAGAATTCCAAGCCGGCAAAAAGTGTATCTGCAGAGCTCCTCTAGAAATAGCGGGAGCTCTGCAGATACACTTAGCGGGAGCTCTGCAGATACACTTTTTGCCGGCTTGGAATTCTTATGAAAATAAGAAGAATTCCAAGCTGGGAAAAAGTGTATCTGTCAGAAATAGAGGAGCTCTGCAGATACACTTTTTGCCGGCTTGGAATTCTTCTTATTTCATCTATCCTTCTTCTTCTTCTTCATCCTCATCCTCTTCTTCTTCTTCTGAGGATGAGGATGAAGAAGAAGAAGAAGAAGAAGAAGTAGGATGAAAATAAGAAGAATTCCAAGCCGGCAAAAAGTGTATCTGCAGAGCTCCGATAAGTATATCTGCAGAGCTCCGCTATTTCTGACAGTTCTCTGACATTCACATTTTACAGCGGTTGCTTCTCATCTTCCTTCTTCTTCTTCTCATCCTTCTTCTTCTTCTCATCCTTCTCCTTCTTCTCATCCTTCTTCTTCTTCTCATCCTTCTTCTTCTTCTCATCCTTCTCCTTCTTCTCATCCTTCTTCTTCTTCTCATCCTTCTTCTTCTTCTCATCCTTCTTCTTCTTCTCATCCTTCTCCTTCTTCTCATCCTTCTTCTTCTTCTCATCCTTCTTCTTCTCATCCTTCTCCTTCTTCTCATCCTTCTCCTTCTCATCCTTCTCCTTCTTCTCATCCTTCTCCTTCTTCTCATCCTTCTCCTTCTCCTTCTTCTCATCCTTCACCTTCTTCTCATCCTTCTCCTTCTCCTTCTCCTTCTTCTCATCCTTCTCCTTCTTCTCATCCTTCTCCTTCTTCTCATCCTTCTCCTTCTCCTTCTCCTTCCTCATCTCCAAGGGCATTTAAATTAAAGGTACAGTGTTCTGCACTAATATAAAGGCTCTCTGAAGCCTAGAAACCCTTTTTATAAGTTAAATTCGCAGCGAATAAATTCGCATCGAATCGAATTTCTCCCGCAAATTCGGCGAATCGGCCGAATCGAATTTTTGAATAATTCGCTCATCTCTAGTTATAATATATATTTACCTTACACCCAGCACTGCACTACAGAGAGTGGTGTCACTATCTTTCTTGTGAGATCCCGATGAATGCTGAGTATCCCACATATCTCAAGATGATGGTCAAGCACAGTATAGGAGATTGGAATCCTCATTTTTCCAGGATCTCAACTGTAAGGACTGTGATGTCACTTTTCCCTGGGTGCTGAGAGTAAGTTAAGTATATAATGTAACCTTTTTTCTCCCACATCCATCATATGGTGATTTATAATGGGGGAAGGTGCCCTGCTGCAATAAGGGGACCTTACTTTCTAGTCTGCTTGGTAATTCCAAATATTATTATTGCCTCAATTACCCATAGACAGTTATTAGAATGCAATATTTTATTTGTAGCTGTCCTTTAAAAAGTAGAGTGCATTACCTTTGTGAAAGGTTCAGAGATAACGTGAACATTTTTAGTTCAATTTATTTGTTTTCATCTAAGTGTCCCTGTAAAAGTAGCTTTATTTGTCATGAAACAATAACTAACATGGAAACAAAATTGAGTTATTGAGCAAAGTTATTATTGATTACATTTAGGCATCTGTTTTTAACATCAGTTACATATTGCATCATTCCACATCAAGATTTTTTTGCAGTTTTATTTAGACCCCCCACCCCACTCCATTAATATAGTATCCTGTATTGCACACTTTGTTCTGTCCATTAATTTATTATATTTTACCTGCATAAGCAGTGTTCTCATGCCAAATTGTATACAGTATTTATCTGCATCTCATATTACCTGAACACTACTAGCAGATTGTCAGACACCAACCTGTAGCTGGATTGCCTGGCAGTTATCTATGGCCTGCTACCCCATCCGTTATACATTTGAGGGTTGGGAGCATGGCTAGTGGTGACTATTCCTTGCTGTTTCCTGTTGATCCTTCTGCCTTCCCAGAATCTTGCTATCCATCTGTTGACTGATCATTCTCCAGCAGTCCTTTCCGGCTTTTCCCACACTCCAGGCACCCTTCCTGTGCCCCAGAATTAGTACACCTGCCCTATTTATCCATCAAGTGAACAGTCCACATAGGGGCCTGGTACACAACACCTTAGTTTTCCATATGCCTTTTAAAGGGCACCAGATCCCTTGTGTTCCTGACTATATATCTGATACACTGTCTAGTTTTGATACCTGGCTCTGGCTGCTCACCTGGGGTGGGGGGGATGAGTGTGAGCAGAGACTAATCCAGAACCTTTACTCACATGTACCAGGAGCTGTCTGCCATCCAACTTCCACAGGTAGTGCACTAGCTAGGGATACAAAAGATCCTTCTCCAGACCAGGTTGATTCCCTCCAGCAATTAATCATTTATCAATCTTCCCCAGTCCCTCAGTTGAGCACCTGCTGAGGCCCAGAGTGCAATTTCTTTTCTCACTATGTCTCCCCCAGGGACAGAAGCCCTAGGAGAATTGGAGCCCTCACTGCAAGGAAAGAACACTCTGGAAAGGCCTCCCAAATGTTTATCACCTCACCAGCCACCTTCTGGATGCCACCTTTCCAGAATTGGCTGGGATATGATACACTTCCTTACTGGTCATTTGACTCTCCCTGCCCTATTTTCCAGAAGCTTCTTCCAGAAGCAGGTGGAAGGAATCAAACACCTAATTTAGGTAACCCTAACCAGATAAAAACAATATATCATCACATTAAGCCTAACAACCTAACAAGAGGAGGGTGCAAGGACTTTTCACGACATGTTTTTACACAAACGTATTGAACTCTAGACACATAGCTACTGCAAATGCGCAGATGAAATACATTAAAAAGTTGTTGTTTGACCTGCCAAAGGATTGTATTTCTGTCCATCCAGTTCTGTGATTCACACAGCACTACCACACAGTACCACACAGTACAGCCACGTCGAGAGGGGCAGAAGACTTAATTCATATCTACTGCAGGTCGCGAAGCCTGCGGACTGATGGGTTCATCTCTCTGACATTCTGCCTTCACATCCCATCAGCATACTCTTTGCATTGCAGCAGCACTGATCAGCTATTTGTAGTGTATCGACCCTCCCAAGTTTAAAGGATCACCTTTTAGTAGAAAATAGTAAATACATTTTTTTGCAGGTAAAAGAATACGGATTTATTATTTTTGTCTGCAGGAGCCTGGGAAGCATTGCACCAGCGATCAGCAGATTGCTGTTGTCATGCAGGTCTCCTGCAGACCTGTCAGTATATCTGTTGGGATGTACGAGTAAGCAGTTATACTGACAGGAAGAATGAATGAACAGCCACGGTGCTTTCACAGCGCAGTGATGGTTCATTGAGGACTGCAAGCCGACAGCCGTTAAGGCTGTCGGGACTTGTAGTCTCTTATTCACAAAGGTGAATGAGTGATGTGGCTGGATGGGCGGATCCCCGCATGGCCGCGTTTTGTTTTAAATTTGACAGCTAGCGAGGGGGGGAGATCCCCTGCTAGCTGTCAAAGCGGGGAGTGGGGCCGTCTGATCATAATATGTTACTGAATATGGGTGTAACATGTAACATGTTATGAAAAGTAGACTTATTCTTTAAGCTCTGCTGTAGGGCACTGCAAGAAGCTAATTCCAAGCCAATGCCAATACCAAATCCAGATACTTACACTACGTGCATGAAAAAATTTTGTATTGTATATACTGTATATAGCAGGGCTTTTTTTCTCAGAGAATAGGTGAAGGAACTCTCCCTTTCTGAGTCCCCCGCTTGTCTCCGTCCTCTATCCTCCTCTGAGCACTGTCCCTTGGTTCCACCCCCTTCCAACCTCCCAGTCCTACCCCTTTTAGAGAATACAAAACCAAGTATCATTTTGGGGTGCTAAATAATTTGTATGTATTTTTTGTATGAACAAGGACTGCAGTAAAATAGCCAGCAACAACAAGATTCCCCTCAGCAACAATAGACCCACTCCAGCAACAATAGATCCTCCCCACAAACACTAACTCCCCCAGAAACAATGGACCTCACTTCTGCATCAATAGGTTTTTCCCAACAATAGACCCCACTCCAGCAACAATAGATTCCCTGCAGCAACAATAGGCCCCACATCAGCAACAATAGATCCCCCACACAATTGATTTGCCCAACAACAATAAACCCCAACTCTGCATCAAAAGGTCTCCCCAACAATAAACCCCACTCCAGCAACAATAGATCCCCTGCAGCAACAATAGACCCCCACCAGCAACAATTGACCCCCCACAACAACAGTGGACCGTCCCAGCAGCAAAATATTTACCCAAGTATCATTGACCCCCCAGCAGCAACAACAGATCTCCCAGCTGCCAGAAACCTGTCCCTCAACTGTAGATCCCTACCAACCACATAAGTCAACCCAGCAACAATAGGTCCTCCACCAACAACAAAAGGCCCTCACACAAAAACAGATCTCCACCAGTGACAATAGATCCCCCATCAGCCAGCACCAATAGATTCTCCAGCACACCCCAGCACCCCTTGCATTACATACATTCAGTGCTGGAGGTGTTGGAGGTGTGTTCCCCACATTCCTGCTGAAAATAAACCCCTTGTATATAGTATGTATATTAATGTATATATATTTGTGAATTCAAAGCTGTAGTCATTTGTATCTTGTTTCTATTTCAGAAACACTGGAACAATAAAATGTGCAATCGTGTTGTGCTCAAAGTAACATTACATATAGGGACACACATAGGACCAGGGGCGGACTGACCATTTGGAAACTCGGGCACTGCCCGAGGGCCCGGGGTCAGTAGGGGGCCCCATAAGATGCCCCTGGTACCTTCTTCATAGGCTTTTTTGAGTTTGGGCAAGGACACAGGGGCCCCATGATCCCCTATTGCCCGGGGGCCCCATGAGTTGTCAGTCCGCCCCTGCATAGGACTGCCATTTATCACAACAAGGGAAATTGTTAATCTGCTGCAACATTTGGAATTTGCACCCAGGAAACAGGGAAAAAGTTATCTATGGAATGTGAAAAGAAGTAAGAGGGAAGGCCAAGCCGAGAAATGGGTTTGAAGGGACGGAGGTTGAGGGAAAAGGAAGGAGCTGGGAGTAAAGTGGTATTAAACCCAAAAGCAAACATTTATTTTATTGCAGCTTCCCAATTCTTAGATGTGATGGCTGTATTAGTTTTTTGTAGGCTTTCGCTCCCTTATTTTCTCCTGGTGATCTAGCCACTAAGTCTGGTATTTTTCAAAAGAACAAGCTCTCTTGCAAATGCAGCAGTTACAGGGATGAGATAAACCATTTACAACTGACAGAGATGCAAGGATCAGCTTTTAATTGTATAAAACCTTTTCCCAAAGGGAAAGAAAATCTGTTTCAGTAACGGTTTATAAATGGTGATCTGGAGTTTGGTTTCAATTTGCTAGTATATCTAAATATGCTAGTCCATCTATCAATGCCCTCCTCCAGACGGACAATGCTGCTGTCCAAATGTGCCCCTGTGCTCTTTCATCCAGAGTAGGGGTACTCTAATACAGAAGGTGTATTACTGGCCAGATCAAGGTGAAAACAGTAGGAAAAAAGCTAAAGAAAAGAAAACTGATGCAGCCACCACATCTAATGACTGTTACGCTGCAATATATTACTTTTTGGGTTTTGGGTTTATTACCACTTTAAGTGCTGGCGGAAAGAATCAGTAACCAGTGCTCATTTGAATGGATTCTCGATATCAAGGCCTGGTTAAGCAGGCAGGATACACAAATCCACTGATACAGTGCTTTGAAAAAGTATTCATACCCTTCAAATTTTTCACATTTTGTCATGTTACAACCAAAAATGTTAATGTATTTTATTGGTATTTTATGTGATGGACCAACACAAAGTGGCACATAATTGTGAAGTGGAAGAAAAATGATAAGTGGTTTTCAAAATGTTCTACAAATAAATATCTGAAAAGTGTGTCATTCATAAATTGATACAAGTCTTCCATTATTCAAGGTGTATTGGCTTTCTCCAGGATCTAGCTATAGTGTATATTACAGCATTAATAATATGGATGATTAAGTAGAATTCTGATTTAGTACAGTCAGCCATATTTTTTTTATTTATAAGGGCTTCTATCAGGTTTTTCAGCAGGGGTCTCTTTTATAGCCTGTCTCTTCAAGCAGTCCCACCAAATATGTCTAAATGTGCCATCAGCATTACACCCCCTAAAGCACCAAGAGAGATACGTAGGTATTGCACATGATAGACAGATGGGTACCAAGTAAATATGTGCGGTGCGTTTTGTTTTGAAATGAAATTCTGGCAAATTTTTTGTTATTCAGATTCAGATGTATCCAGATTTCCAAGTTACAATAGTAACAAATTTAAACTAATCCTAAATGATGAAACACAATTTTGTCCAAAATTCGATTTGAATTCAAATTGAATTTTAAAACAAGCATAAAATAGTATAGAAAAAAAATAGTATAGAAAAGGATTGGATAGCATACAGTAGAATAGAAAAAAAGAATAGAATATAAAAGAATAGAGTAACTTTTGAAAAGAATTAGAATTCGAATAGAATAGAAAAGAATAGATTTGAATAGAAAGGAATAGAATAGAATAAACAATAGAATCGAATAAAATAGAATATAACCGTCTTCTGAAATTCAAATTTTGAATAGCATAAATTTGAATAAAATAGATTAAAATAGAAAAGAATAGAAAAGAACAGACTAAAATAGAAAATAATAACAGAAAACAGAAAAAAAACGACAGAATAGAATAAAATAAAATATAACTGTCTTCTGAAATTTAAATTTTAACGAATTCTGAAAATTAAAATCGATTTCGAAAATTAATATATGAAGTGGAACTAAACGTATTCCAAAAACAAATTGAACAAATGTAATGAATTTAACTAAACAAAATTATTTAAATAACAAATCAATTTTTTTTCGTTCTGTACATGTCTAGTACCAAGGTCCATTACACTAGCATCTTATTTTAAGCTTCTGCAGCTGAGAAATTTGTCTTTTTTTTATTTGTCTTGAGTTCAGCTTTAACATCATATTCTGGGCACACTGGTGCACTCGTTTCCTCTTTGTGTTTCACTTACCATTCAGGTTATTCCTCTCCCCAGACAGGCTCTATAGCAGAGGGAAAAACCCAGGCAACAGTCTGGACTTGCATACCAAGACCTAAAAACATATTAAATCTGTCAGATGTTTTCTTACATCTATTTCATCCTCATGGTACTCTGTGCTGAGTTGATGGTGTGCAGGATGGGAGTGTTGATTGGCTGATGAAAAGTCTCATCTGTTATGGTGAATACACATCCAGGTGTCTGGTGGAAGAAATAATTAAGCTAGGTGAGAATGCCTCCACGTTCTTCTCTATATCTCAGCAGAGGGAGAACTATAAATAACAGTATGTGCTGCTATATCTCTACTCGTTCCTGCAAAACAAAATGCCAGATGGGCTATGGACTGAGCTACGAATGATATATCCAGCATAAGAAGATAACATTCAATGTTTTTGTCAGGCCACCAATCTCGCTGTCTTTATAAACAGTGATATACAGTATGTTGCTGTGCAGTGCTATAGAAGCAGAACTTACTCAGACCAGTCTTTCTCAACCAGGGTGCCCAGGTAACCAGGGGTGCCTTGAGGTTTCTTCAGGGGTGCCTTGGCAAAATGTCTAAAAATTTCCCAAAACTTGTATACAAATCAGTGGGTGGAACAAGCCAGCCTTTTAGTTACACAAAGCCACAGGTTTTCATTGTGCACCATTACGACCTTTTATCCACCAGCTTCCTGACAACATGACATCATGAGTTGATAAGGAGGATGTCAACTGCCTGCATGGCATCCTAGTTTGACCCTCCACTGCCCCTCTCCATCAATGCTGGGGTCACATTAGCTCAGTGATGGAGAAAAACTGAGGGAGAAGAGAAACACTGGAATACTAGACAGTACCAGGGTGCAAAAGGGTATTTGCTTTGGAAAAATAAATCACCTCCAATGTTGGGTGTCCTACGTGTGTGGATGTTGCCGTACTATATAAAACTATTAGAATAGTTTTTGACATTTTAGAATGGGGTGCCCTTTTAAAATTACATACAGTCTAGAGGCACTCCATTTTAGAATGGGGTGCCTCAAGACTGTGCATATTTTTAAGGAGTGCCTCGGGACTGTCCATAACTTGACTGAAAAGAGGTTGAGAAACACTGATTTAGACATACATCCCTAGGTAAACTTGACACCCTTCATACATGCTCCATTCTCTAAATTCAGGTTATTATAGTAGAAATGTACTACTGGGGGCAGCTTGAGGCTTGCTTTACATACACAAATAATTTTTCAACTATGCAGGCCACCAAACTTGAGAAATCAAAAGATGGTTTTAATTGTATGCAAATGTAAAAGAACAAAAACAAGGGAAGAGAGAGAAAGTGGCGCTATCTAAGTGTAGCAAACGTGAAAAGGAGATGTGAATACATAGAAATAGGTGTTGCACTCACATAGAGTTGAGTAAGACTTTTCAAAATGAATATTATATGTTGCATCTCAAAGGTGGCAGCTTCTTAAATGACCCAAAAAGGACATGAAAAACAGAATGCAAAGAAAAACGCACCACTCTCAGGGTAGTAATAGTAAAAACTTTTTGAAAAAGGATTGGACAGTATTGCACTCACATATAGTAATGAGAAACAGGCATTACTCAAGATATCCAGCAGGTGGTATTGTTTTATTGGACCTCAATAAGAAGCTCATGGAGGATGAGCTGGCAGATGACCTCGGGATGGGAGCAGTGTTAGGGTACTGAAAGTAGAAATAAACAAAGAGAGAGTGTGCCACTCTCAGTGTAACATTTATCAGAACATTTTACAATTAAAAAATATGCAATATTGCACTCACATGTGGTAAGTTGAAACACAGGTATTACTACAAGGTTCCAACAGGTGGCATAATTCCAGTGGTTCCTGGTTCCTGCCTATATGACATTGCTTACTGTCCAGGCCACCCACTGATAGAAGAGCTCCTACCATTTTCTATGTGCTTCTCCTGGAGATGCAGAAGGAAATGAGATGAAATCTCTTCATAGTGAAATAATGTTTTGTTGTTTGGTTTTTTTTGAGAAGGGGGGGGTTGTCCCCATAGGAGAATTCTCCTTCGGTTCTTGCTTGTGGGGAATCGGACAACAATCAAAAATCTGACAAAGATTCATGTTTCCTAAACTAAAAGGAGTCTTCTGACCAGGGGTGGACTGACCATTTGGAAACTCGGGCACTGCCCGAGGGCCCGGGGTCAGTAGGGGGCCCCATGAGATGCCCCTGGTACCTTTTTCATAGGCTTTTTTGAGTTTGGGCAAGGACACAGGGGCCCCATGATCCCCTATTGCCTGGGGGCCCCATGAATTGTCAGTCCGCCCCTGCTTCAAACTAGAGCATTCCCAGCACCTCTTACTACTGTTTCTCTTGCTGAATTTAGCTGTATGTACATTAATATGTTTGTATACATGGATAAAAGCCTTATATGCTTGTCTTTTTTCTTTTGTAGCACCCTCCTAGGTAGCTAGGGGGAGCTAGATGATTAGTTTTTAGTTAGACGCTGCATGGCAGGGTGGAGGAATCGTCAGAGGGGGTCACATTTTGGTCCAGACTGAGGGGTTCTGCAGACCAGCTCTCTGGAACTTCCACCTGATCTAGAAACTTGGAGAAGTCTCTAGAACTCAGTGGGCAGGGGGTGAGGAGTGGCTCATCTGAACTGTCAAGGGATACTGGCCAATCCCCAAGCAGGAGGATGGGCATGGGGTCAGGACAGCCCTTAAGAGTGTCTGAGCCTGCTCAGCAGCAGGAGAGTTCAGGTAGAAGATGGAGTGAGCAGGATGGTGTTTGGGTCCAGGAGACAGGTCTACCTAC